CGGCATGACGTGAGCAAGCTCTGGCTTGGCAGACGTGAAGTGAGCAGGCCCTGGGGTAGCAGTCATGATGTTAGCAGACTCTGGCTTGGCAGACATGACGTGATCAGGCTTTGACTTGGTAGATATGACATGAGTAAATTTTAACTTAACTGGCATGATGTGAGCAGGTCCTGGAGTAGCGGGCATGACGTGAGCAGGCTTTGGTGTAGCAGACATGACGTGTGCAGACTGTGGCTTGGCAGACATGATGTGAGCAGACCTTGGCTTGGCAGACATGACGTGAACAGGCTTTGGGGAAGTGGCATGTTCCTCCTCCATGACACCCACAGTGAATGGTGAAACCGCCAGACTAGACTCACCGACAGTGGGTTAAAACTTCAATACACGACAAGTGACAATGGCAACATGGTGGCTACTTATAGCAAACAAGAGGGTCACATGACAAGAACAAACCAATGGGAAACAAGACACATGACTAAAGACAACCAATCAGAACATGACACATACACAAGGCAGAGATACATGAGGGCAAGGGAAGCATTACACTAACAGCATGAAACAATTACAAAATAAAAGACATGGAAAACATGAACATGAAACAAAACCCAAACACCAAACCCCACATTACACCATCATACATGCTCCCCTGTTTGCTATCAGCTATTCAAATACAGCATGTGGCTGTTGAGTATGTAATGAATCAAAGATTTAGGATTATTGAATGTGAATCCTCTTTCTTAAGGCTGGTGTGATTGTAACGTTGCTGCTGTTACTGATCCTCTACACAAACAGAGTGTTTCTGTTTGTTGGGACGACCTTGCTTGGGCTTTTCATCAGCAGTGTTTTCCCCTGCCTAGTGGCCTACACCGAGGACATCCTAGAGTACCGCGGTAAATTACACACTAACATACTTCATGTTTTATATCATGGTGGGGACCTTTAACTTTCTGTTGTTCTTATATTCTATATTCCATAATAATATAATATATTATTATATTCCATAATACTACTACTACTACTACTACTACTAATTATTATTTTAATAAATAATTCTTAATTAAATAAATACTAGACTTGATATTATGAATTTATATTTATATTACAAAGATATTACAGACTTTATACTGCAAATTCTTATTATCTTATTATATCTTAATTTATATTATGAATTTATTAATTTCTCAGTTTTTATTTTTTATAAAAATTCGAACTTGACCCCAAA